AACATAACATAACATAACATAACATAACATAACATAACATAACATAACATAACATAACATAACATAACATAACATAACATAACATAACATAACATAACATAACATAACATAACATAACATAACATAACATAACATAACATAACATAACATAACATAACATAACATAACATAACATAACATAACATAACATAACATAACATAACATAACATAACATAACATAACATAACATAACATAACATAACATAACATAACATAACATAACATAACATAACATAACATAACATAACATAACATAACATAACATAACATAACATAACATAACATAACATAACATAACATAACATAACATAACATAACATAACATAACATAACATAACATAACATAACATAACATAACATAACATAACATAACATAACATAACATAACATAACATAACATAACATAACATAACATAACATAACATAACATAACATAACATAACATAACATAACATAACATAACATAACATAACATAACATAACATAACATAACATAACATAACATAACATAACATAACATAAAGTATCATCCGCAAGCTTTATTACTTCACTGCTTACCCCTTTCTCCAGATCATTTATGAATAAGTTGAACAGGATTGGTCCCAGGACTGACTCTTGGGCGACACCACTACTTACCCCTCTCCATTCTGAAAATTTACCATTTATTCCTACCCTTTGTTTCCTGTCTTTTAACCAGTTCTCAATCCATGAAAGGACCTTCCCTCTTATCCCATGACAATGTAATTTACACAAGAGCCTTTGGTGAGGGACCTTGTCAAAGGCTTTCTGAAAATCTAAGTATACTATATCTACTGGATCCCCCTTGTCCGCATGTTTGTTAACCCCTTCAAAGAACTCTAAGGGTACGTCTAGACTACAGGGTTTTGTCAACAGAACTTTTGTTGACAGATACTGTCGACAAAGCTTCTGTCGACAAAGAGCATCTAGACTACATCCAGTTCTGTCGACAAAGCAAGCCACTTTGTCGACATAACAGTGTGGACGCAAAATACAGTGTAGATGCAATAATGCCTTCTATCAACAGAACTCTGTCAACAAAGGGCGTTATTCCTCGTAGAATGAGGTTTACATACGTCGACAAAACTGCTGAGTTTTGTTGATGTTATGTCGACATAACTCAAAGGCAGTGTGGAAGCAGGTATAGTTTTGTCAACAAAAGTCCACTTTTGTCGACAAAACCCTGTAGTCTAGACACACCCTAATAGATTAGTAAGACATGATTTCCCTTTACAGAAACCATGTTGACTTTTGTCCAACAAATTATAGACAAAAATAAGGTCCCTCACCAAAGGTTCTTAAGTAAATTACATTGTCATGTAAGATTCCTTTCAGACAGCTTCTATTCTGCTGAGCTCATTTGAAGCACTAAAACATCTCCAATAATCATAGCTCCACCTAGGGAGGCAACAGAACACTTGTTTACTGCAGAACCAATTCAATAGCATTAGAGGATACATTAGAGCAGTGGTTCTCAGCTTGTTTCAGTCCACGGACCACCAGGCCAATCAAAAAATTTTCGTGGACCTCCTCCTGTTTGAGACATGATAAAAAAGAGCAGACAACGAACATTTTGGTTTGAAATGAATTTAAAATGATGTAGTGTGTCTTATGAAGCATGTGGACCTGGACAGAACTGAAAACTTCATGGGATGCTGTCTATGGATACATCTGTATTACAGGCTAAAGTCAAGTTAAATTACTCAATTTCAGCTACATTAATTGTGTAGCTGAAGTCGAAGTACCTTAACTTGGCTTTAGGCACTGTCTACACAGTAGGAAGTCAAAGGAAGAACATTCTTCTTTCAACTTCCCTTATTCCTCATGCAATGAGGGTTGCAGAAGTCAGAGTAAGAAGTCCATTATTTCAAAATTATTTTGAAATAACAGGCTTGCTGTGTAGATGCTCACGCTGTAATTTCAATACACGTGCAGTGTAGACATAGCCTATGTCAGGAAAATGATAGAAATAGTGCATAATTATATATTATAGCCTTTGGAACACATACAGTTCTATTCTTATAATGGAGAAGACAGGAAAGATTTTAAATTGCATGAATACTAATAAATTGTTTAAAGTAAATTGATTTAAAGTAACAAAGGATTGGATCTCTCTTGTGGGACAGAGCTAAGAGGAAGCAAATTGTGCAAGGATCATCTTGGGCAGTTTGTCTTTATTCATTCCATCTGAAGGGATGGGGCTTGTGTGTACCCCAGAGATAGCAGTAGATCTGGGATTGTCAATGTAAAGGTTGAGAGCCACTTCTGGACCAGTCAGCATAGAGTTACAGCCCATTTGACACCCTCAGGTAGTATACACTTGCTGGTCCCCGGTATCAAAAGGTTGGGAACCACAGGTCTAAACCAATAGTACTGGATGCAGACCACAATGGTAAATGGGTTGAGCAACACTACTCAAGACACAAATCCTGAGGGATCTACAGAAACTCATATAACTCTACACTGGATCTGGAGCCTTGGTAACTCCCTTCCTCTTCCCTTCTTTCCCCATGCACACAATCTTGTAGCATGTTAACCTTACAGAGCCACAAAACCAGAGAGATGCATTGGCCTCAGCTGTCCCCTGGAACTGCCCTTAAAGGTGGAACCCACAGGCAGGGATCCATGGGCGAGTTAATGTGTCTCAGACTGTATTAATTTTCCCACATCATCTCCGTAGAACTGATGAGGGGACAGCAGGCATCTACCAAGTTCTACCTACACCTAACACTAGTACAATCAAAAGGGGGAAAAGATATCCATGAAGATCCTGGGGGCACAGTTTGGTCCACAATAGTTAATTATTAGTGATTTAAAATCTTTAAAATTGTAACTGCAATTATAGTATTCAATTTAAAATCTAATTTTATTTTATTAGAGAAGCAAATCTAACAACAGAATTTACGGTCTTCCTCTTATGGATCAGTATGTTTTAAAGAACTCATCAATTATTTAGGTACCTACATGGCATGGCCACATTTTCAAAAGCATATGTGTCCAATGGCTCTGATTGAGAATGGTGGTTGTGAGGATGGAGCCACATGCTATTTCATTCTACAGCAAACACACGCTCAGATCCCTCTAATCAAACAGATAGGCTAGTCCATGTGGAAAATTATGTTTCACCTCTCCACATTAATAATAGTTAGCAATTTGTAATCCTGTTTGTATTCAGACATTTAACACATATTGGGCTTAAGTAGTTCCCCACCACAAATAAAGGGGGTGATCAATATGTGAATGATTCTCTTTGCATTGATCAAAGGGAACATGATCTGGCTTGTTAATTACTTTGTAACAATTATAATTTTTTTGTTTTATGTTGATCATCTTTCCTTATAAAATGTCTGTCTTCTTTGCAACATGAATGCCGATTACTAGCTTCTTCTGATGCTTGATCATATACAGGTAGTTCAAGGTGTCACAATGCAAGCCCAATAGGCAAGGCAAATGTCAAAAAGTGCAAATAAAAATTATCAATAAAGTTTAAGAAACATTGGACCTTACTACTCTCAGTCTGAATGATCTAATCATAAGATCTTTCGAAACACCAACTCTGATTCTGGATTCAATTTTAAGCATGTTGGCATATGGTTGCATTTTAAATCCAGCTTCAGTAGAATAGCTAAACACAAACAATGTTGGTGGGGTTTCATATTTTGCTTTCAAAACTTGAACTAACCTAGGTCAGGTCTACACTAGATACTATTGCCGATACAGTAATTTTGGTTAAGGATGTGATTTTTAAAATAAAAACAAACCCCTTTGAATAGCCACCAGAGTGCCGCGTGGGTACTGCATGTGGCTCTAAGGGCTCGGGTGTGGGGCGTGCTGTAATCTGGGCAGCACTGAGGGCTGGCTGCCTTCAGTCCCACCCCTTATGCCCACGGGCTTCAAACCAGCCCCCCTCTCTCTCCCACACACATACCTTGCCCCAGGGCCCAGGAGGTTGTTGGTCTCATTGGAAGAGAAGTACTCACATCATTAACTGGCAAATTTGTTGCCAGACTCAAGAGCAAGGGCAAGAATTAAAGTAGAGACACTGAACTATTCATATGGCAATGGTTATTCAACTATTGCTTTACATCTGTTAAATCTCTAGAGTCATGAGATTTCATTTTTATTGGCTTGTCTTTCTGCATTATTTCCCCAGCTGGTATAAATTGGTGTAGCTCCATAGAACTCAGTGCTAATTTATACCAACTGAGGATGTATCCCAATATCTATCAGAGCTATAACCTTACTATATCTGCCGTAACTCTGGGAATGCTATCAAACTTAATTGGCAGGAGTATGTGGCAAAGAATTTTTTACATTTTTGGGTTGTTCCCCGTGAGACTTCATTTGTAAGAATTGCTGCAGGCTGTCATTTTTGTCTGCCATCCAGTGCATGTTGGCAAGAGTGTTGTGTACTAGACTTTGTGTCTGGTCATAGAAAAAAACCAATGCAGCTCAGCCAGACTGTTTTGTTATTCCTTTAGAATTAAAAGCATATGAAACAGATGCAGCTTAATAAGTTTTTTTATAAATAACATCAACTTAAATAACTTAGAATAATAAAGTTCAAATATAACTTAAAATAAAGTTTAATGCTGTAACAACAGAAAAAGCATGAATAACGGTGGAAAAACAATATTAAAAGCCATATGCCCTAACAGGAATTATACAAAAGATAGGTTATGTTACATAAAAAACCTTAATAAGTCTGAATTTTTGTCGTTATATAAAATGTTATTTTGTGGAAAGTGAGATGAAGTACATTTTTGTTTATTCCATATTCCTAATACTTTACATACATTATTTTGAAATATCTTTTAGAGCAGCATTAGGTATTTGTTCTTGTTAATACAATTGATATTTTGCAGTGGTGCAATCTTTATTTTCCAAACAAGCTTTTTTAAATCTAAATGTGACAGTAACAAATGTACAATTTTTTTTCTAATCCTATTTTATGTATAGTTTATCAGTTTCTCTGGGAAGTATTTAAAATACTGCTCAATCTCCACATTTAATATTGACTTGATAATCTGACAAATCATTCCAGCAGCCTTAAAGTCCGACATATTTTACATAACATTATCATCTGCTTTATTATTTTTATAGCAGCCATGTTTAATAAGCAGATAGGTTTTTTTAAATAAAATATTGTCAGATAATCAAGTCATGACTTTTAAGGGTAAATTAATTTAAGAAACTACCCAGTTACTATTACTAACATAATGATTGAACAACTCTTTACAACTTTTTACAACTTTTAGTTACTAAATTTGATTGTGTATATTTTCAAATCTTTTTAATGAAGTCTCTTTAAAATAAACATAAATGCGCAAGTCCAGCTTGTTCAGTTTTTCAGTAGTATTCCAGCCTCTCTTGATTACTTGTTCAGTCTCCTTAAAAATAATCTTCCTGCTGGAACTAGTTCTCTATAGATCATATATGATTAGGATATTGCAAAAGGAAGAAAGTGGGATGCTTTGTGTTCTTTCTTTGTTTTTTTACCTTTCATGGGGACACCTTTGCGATTTAATGTCACAAACATCTCTTTTCCTTTGTTTGTCCATTTTGCTGAAGCATAAGTATTATAATGGTTTTCTTCAATCAGTTCTATGAAGTTACAGTCTTCATTGCATACTTTCTGTTAAGAATGAATGATAACATAAACATAGCATAAATTAACACTTTTATTCTTTAAATGCATAGAGGAGGTGGGGAAGCTGGGGGGGAAGAGCACATACCATATAATAAATACCATTTGTTTTTAAACTAATATATTACTTAGGTCTCTTAAGTCTTAACTAACATGGTCTATATTTTTAGCTTTGAATATCCTCCCTTAGCAGCTGAAATTTTTAACAAGAGGAAGATTTAAAAAAAAACAAGATTAGGGAGTTAATCCTTAGATTTTATAACCAAGCATAACAATCTACCATTACAATTGGATAAAGATTCAATATATTTCTATTTGCTAACAATAATTTACACAAACTACACTGATGTTATGTAAAAATCAGCAGAAATGTTCAAAAGTATATATTTCCATAATACAAGTTCTTTGCAGTATTTTCAGTACCTTTCCATAGAGCTTTCCAGACTTGTTCATTGCTAGAAAGTATTCACTTTCCACCCCTTTGATTGCCACTACTCCAACTGCCACTGTTCTTATTTCCAGAATACCTGCAAAGAAATAAATTGAGGTCTGTAAACTGTTCATTTGCTTTTTCAGTCACACCTAAGAGTATTGTTTCTCTTAATGATTCTATAATACTTCTGGGTTTATTTAAAATGTTAAACTGGTGAAAGTGGTTATTAAAATCAAAAGTTCACATAGTGCAGACTAGATCGTGGCTTTCTCTTTAAAAAAATCTTCTGTATATGTATATTCACACACATACAACCAACTCTTCATATCAGTTTCTAGTGCTATGTTTTTCACTCATCATATTCTAAACTTTACTTGCATTTTTTTAAGAATCAGATGTTTTCTTAAAATTTCTCTGGTTCATGTTTCCAACAGAAATAAAGACAGATGTTTTAGCCAAGATTCACAGAATTTTTGTAAAGACCACATTTAAAAGATATGTGAGAATTTTACTGGTGTCACCTCCTTGAAGAAGCATAAACCTAAGAACTTGTAAATGATAGAAAACAGACCTCCCTATCTTAAGGAAGATAAAATACCTGCTTGACCTTGACAGGCTTTGAAAAGTGACAGGAGCTGAAAAGATATCTGCACTTGAAGATAAATAACCAAAAGCTACTAGCAAAACTTTTTTATTCAAATATCTTTAACCCAGAAAATTTGAAGTTGTTTTAATTTTTCATTGAGTGGTAGATGCTATTAACATATACCCATAGTTACTAGTGTAACATAAAATACTCTTTGTAGAACTGAAAAATGGGATGCAGAGTACACTATGTGGTTTTCAAATTTAAGCATTTTAATAGTTAAGATAATACATTAGTTTTAAGTTTGGACCATACATTTTTGGATGAGGCCCTCCTCAGATTGGAAGCTCCTCAAAATGGAAGCTCCCTAGCTTCCTCTTGTGATTTTCTTTCTACAGGGGATCTTTTTAGTTCAGCCAGTTCCATTCAGAATCCAGTACCTAACCCAAGTGTGCTAGGCAAGAGAAAAGAGTATTAAGGGTTTTTATCCCAAGTTAACCAATCTTTCCTAAAGATTATTCTTGACTGACGGTACAGGATCCCCACTCTTAGGGTACATCTACACAGCAGTGTTATTTTGAAATAACTGATATTATTCTGAAATAACAAAGTCCGAATCTACACACAGCAGTTATTTCGACATCATGTCAAAATAACGTCCAGCGGGAGGACTACTTACTTTGACTCCTGTAACCCTCATTTTATGAGAAGTAAGGGAAGTGAGAGGAAGTGTGCTCTAACTCGTATTTACTGCAATGAATATTTCAGTATTTTAGGTTTATTGTGCCAAAAGCTGAAATAAGCTATTTTGACTTAAGCTACGCAATTGACGTAGCTCAAGTTGTGTAGCTTATTTTGGATTTAGCCCCGCTGTGTAGACGAACTCTAAGTGCGTATCCATTAAGGGACCCTGCCTAGGACTAATGTGGACACGCTATTTCAAAATAGTTATTTTGGGAGGTATTATTTTGAAATAACTTATTTCAAAATAATTTCCTAGTGTAGACATGCCCTTATACACTTCTTTGGCAGGATTGTGCAGTAGCCGTATTATCCATCATCACTACAGTAATTCAGGAGTGTTAATGTCATATTGTCCTCACCATAGTGTGAGGTTTTTCACTTGAAGAATGCAAATCTCCTTCCCAAACAAGACTTTTTAAGTGTTATCTTCATTTATGTATGTTTAAATGGCTAAGTATATGCTCATTTTTTGTGAAATGTGGGGGAGCATGTGGGCTGTGGTTTTTAGTTTGTTGGAATTTTATAATCTGGTTTCATCTGTTTGTTATATATCCTTTTTACATCATCTTGCCCTTCTACTTTTCACTTTTTTCTTTTGTTTCTTTAATTTGTTGCCTCTTATCCACTCTGCTTCCATACCATTCTTAGCCAGTATCCTATCTTCCTTTTATTTATCCTACCATCAAATCTAATGCCTCTTCCCTAAAGTTTAGTTTATGGTTCTCTGTTCTCTTGTCTTTTCTCTGATACTTTCTTACTCCACTGTGGAATCTAACAAACTTCAAATAACATTTTCAACTTTTTAATAAGTTTTACTCTGCCTGCAATAAGCATTGAAAAAAGGATTTGAACCAAACAACTTCAAAGTGATGCTCATTAAAAATTGTAATACTTTCACTTTAAATACAGGCAGTCCCCGAGTTACGCGGATTCGACTTATGTCGGATCCGCAGTTACGAACGGGGACCTCTCCCTGGTCTCCAGCAGACCAGGGAGAGGAAGCAAAGCGGCGGAACACGTGGGCAGCGGACAGCCCAGACGCGTCTGGGCTGCCCGCTGCCCGCATGCTCCGCGGCTTTGCTTCCTCTCCCTGGTCTGCTGGAGACCAGGGAGAGGGCCCCGTTCGGAAGTGCG